TGAGTTAAATGTAGTGACCACTGAATCAGCAGACAAACAGAAGCCAGCTAGAGAAATGGGGACGATAAGAGCAGAAGGGTCAAAGCAACTGACAGATCAGGGACCTGAAAAGAGCTGAAAGATGAGGCAGTTCGTGAGTTGTGGGGGAATGATTTACGTGCACACAGAGAAAGAATCAGGGTATTAATGTCAAATAAACAGAATCAAAACAGGGCTTGGTAAAAACTCACTGGAGACCTGCTAAAGCCAAGACAGTGGCTGATGCTTTGATGTGAAAAAAATGACAAGGAAGACAGGACAGTGAGAGAGAAAACAGGCAGGAAATTTCATCTTAAATCAGCAAAGCCTTGATGGCTTAGCTGAAGAACCACAGCAGATTTCTGTAACATGGCTAGGATTGTGACTGTAATTACATTTGCTGCCAAGATGCAGTATTTATACTGTAAAGTACACCCCTCCAATGGGATGTCCTTTCTGAGCTCCTAAGCACCAAAGCTTGCGGTGCTTTCGCATGAATTCTCTTCTTACTTACAATGTGACAAAGAAATATCACTGAAATAAGTTGTGTTGCATCCAATTTGGTTTTACAGAAGAAAAGAGATCTGGCCTTATGCTAAATAAACACAAAAAATGCATAATGCATGTAGTTGTCAGTTGTAAAACTCTGACACGCTTGTTCCCCATTTCCTCATTGCCATAAAAGAAAAAACACACACACAAAAACAAAACCTCTTGACAATACAATTGTGCTGATAATGTTAAATGACAGACCTATAAGGTAATTTTTTTTCTGTTAAAGCGAATAGTAGCTGGAGGTATTGAAAAACTTCTAAGGAAAATTGTAAATCTAGTTGTAAAAAAGCTACTTCTGCACCAAAAAGTATGTAGTAAGTACTGCAGGATTTTGTAATGACTGAAAATGTAGTTCCATTTTAAAGTAAAGAATTACAAATCTTCTAGTAATTGTGTGACAGGACTCTGAATGAGAGCTGCTGAATGTATTGTTTTTGGTATATACATATGCCACTGGGAAGTTAACATAAAGGTGTTAAGGAACATCTTTCCTTCTCAGTGTCCAAGTGTATAGCAACCTGGCACAGGTTCTGCTATTCCCTAAAATAAGTTACTATATCCAGCAACCAGCATGCACTTTTTAACTGAAGCAAAATTGAATGAACGTCTGTGGTTTCGTGGGTGAGGACATAAAAGCTTCAATTTTAGGAATACAGTTAACTCTAAACAGAATTCTCAGAATGAACATCACTCTTTTTTTTTTTTTTTTTTTTTTTTTTCCAGAACTAATACATTTTATAAAACTGCCACACAGACTTCAGTGAGACTTGCAATAATTGTCATTGTCGCTGAAAATGGACAAACATGAGAATTGAGCAAATTATTTCTCCTTCAAGAATATGAGCTGATTTTTGGTTACCAGTGGAAGTCAGAAGTCTATTTACTGGGTAATAACTGAAATACATTCAGCTGATATATAATTTTTATGAGCTGAAGAACTCAGATAAGCCAAATTGCATGTTAATCATCTCAATTTTGAATGAGGCAACTGGAAAAGATGATCTCAATTACATAGTCTTATAATTATTAATATTACATGTGAATAAAATTGCTACATGTGTAAAGAAAGTATAAGCTATTTTTTAAAATCATTAAACAAAAAGAGTTTAATGAACAACACTAATTGAACTCAAGAAAGAGTTTTAGAATTCTCTTTAATCTTAACCCCTTCATTTCACATCACACCAATAATCCGATTATATAGAGATAGGTTGAATAGGACCAAATTGCTTGATCTGCAGAAACACAAATATTAAAATTAATTTAAAATATTTTTCCCTTGAAAAACAGTGCAGTGCATGTTAGATACATGACAGTTGGTGTTTTCTGATATTTCAAATAATAAATTATAGCCTGATGACTCATTCTTTTGGAAATGCTAAATATAAGTAATCTGAGTAAATAGACTGAAAATGTCTGATTAATAAAATGAATAACCTACATGAAAATTTGTGTATTTTTTCTATTTGAGTAACAGTGGTTTAACTTAAAAGTAATTAACTACATATTACAAACCTACTCTTTTTTATTTTAAATACAGATTTTTCAAAAAAGTGATACCATATTCTAATGACTGATAACACAGTTCTACCACAATTGAGAAAGTAACTAAATAGTTAATTTTGTCCAATGTGAACAGAAATTGGACTCTAAATTAAAGACCTTTATACAGTTGACAGTTATATTTCAAATTTTCATAAGTCTACCTAAAAAAGTTTTCTTTCTATAATTCTATGCAGAGATCTAAAAGCACAGCTATGCCCTTTTCTTCCACTGAAATATAGTTATTGAACAGTCATTTAGTTAAAAATGATCAGATTTAATAACACTGTCTAATTCTCAGCTGCTGTTGATTGCCCTAGAAGAACATGATTAAAAACCTGTAAGTGTGAAATCTAGCTGTCAGAAAGCAAGAAAAAATGGACTACTTACATGGAAAATATGTGTAATGTAGTCACTTTAACTGATCAATTTAAATATTTAAATGTGTGGCAGATTTATATCTTGTATCTAAAAATATATCCAAACTATTTCTCAGATTGCATACTTTCGTGGGCCTTGGTTCTCTATTGTACTGTTGTTAAGTGATAATATTAATTAATACTGTTAATTATCAAGTAAAGGCATGGTAATATTGGACACTTGTTCAAAACCTGTGCTTGCACAAGCACTCCTTTGATCCTGAAACAGAAAACATGGTGTGGCTTATGCATTCCGCATCACAGGCAGAACATTGAAAACCATAACAGCAAAACAATCAAATGCCTTAATTTAGAGCTGACAAAACAAATGAAAAACAAAACAAAAGCAGCCAAAATAATGAACAACAAACCACCCCAAAACATAAAAATGCACTTCATTGGTAGGTTATTGAAATAAAATACTGTTTGTTTCAGGTACTTACTTTCATTTGGCTGCTTTTAGAGCAATGAAAAGGGATGCCCAACAAATTTTGGATATAGCCAGAAAAATTTTTCATTGGCATGAAAAATTGCCTATCAGCCTACCCAGACTGGGACACTGTTCATGCAGAAAATAGACTTGGTAGGTGCAGAAATTACTCTTTCTTAAAATCACAAAGTTACACCAGAATGTACGTTATCTTACATTTTGTTTTCACTGCCCCCCCCCCCCCTTTTTTTTTATAAGAAAAAAGCATCTTCATCCAATGTGAAGAAGTAGTGAGTCCTTTGCAAGTGGCTAACTTTCCCAGTTCCCACAAGAAAGCCTGCAGGAAGAAGTAAAGATATCACAGGAAACTTTTCCTGCTAAGAATAATCTGGCTCTGTGCCACTGAAAGAGGACAGGGAATTATTTTGGGGACAGATTTTGAATTCCACTGAACAGGACATGGGCTGACCAGCTTTGGGTGACAGGAAAGGCTTCATGTCAATATATGAGATTTGAACTATGAGAGGAAAAGAGATGATGGAGAGGAGGAAGAAATTATGTACTTTCCTCTTAGTCCTAACTCACATTAATTTTGCTTCTGCTGACAGAACATCACCTTCTCCTAACAGGGGAGAAAATCTGCTAGGAGATCATGAAGGAAGCAGAACAGCCCCATCCTATATGCTGATATGACGATACACAGAAATGTGATATACATTACTGTGTTACAGTCTTTGCAAACCAAGGTGTTGGACTGTGATATCTCGCAACAAGTGTAATGATGCCCATTATGCAGTATATTTTCTCCATCAAAACAGCATATTTGTAACTTACACATTTTCCTTCTTCCATTGCTAGTCTCAAATACAAGGATGATGCAGGTGTCAATTCCAAAAGCAACAAACTCTCATTTTTTACAACATACAGATTATTTAAAAATCTGAAATTAACATCTTTAAAATTACCTGAAATAATTTAAATGTGTAGGCGAATGATGAAAGTTTCATTGATATTCCTTCCAAAACTCTGTAAATGATACCACTAGATGCCTGACCAATTAGGTGCTTTGAAAAAAAGGACTTGTGTAAGCCACGTAGGCAATTTTTTCAGATATTACTCTGAGTGTTTTGCTATTCAAACAGAATTATTGAAAGCTTCATTTACTTGGGATGGCTTGAATCTTAATGTGATTAGATATTAAACTGATTTTTCTGTAAATAGTACAGCTTAACATTGAAAATATTGAATTTTAATGAATAATTTCCAGTAACGGTAAATACAACTTGCCCTGACTAAATTAATTTTTGAAAGTAATTATAAGGTGTCTCCATCATTTTGATAGTGTTGCTTCAGTACTGTTATCATTATTATTACCATTACAGCATCCTGTATGAGAGAGAGATGTAACATTTGTTATTATGTGTAGTTCTCAAGTAAACTTTCCTTGCAATCTGTTAAACTTCCCATTTCTGTAAATAAGCAAAAGCTTCTAAGAAAGTCACTTGAATGCCTTAAAACAGTGGTTCTAAATCTCTTTAAATTTTCTTCCATGTCTCTTAGAATGCCTTTCTTCTGTTCCTCCTGGCCGGAGGACATCATAATTTTTGGAATGAGGAGACAATGCATGCAATGTTTTCTGGGGAAACATCTTTAGGAGCTGCTAGGAGACAAGGAGAAGATTCATCTGGGAGGTAGTGGCTAAGACATGGAGAGGACTCAAGGGACAAAGCAGCACAGAAATCTGAGTAACTGGGGGCAAGAGATCCCATCACAGGAGTTTCTGTTGAGCATTTGAGGCTCAGCAGGAGAACACAGCTCACAAAATATATGGGTTCCCTCCAGTCTCTGCTGCTCTTCCATGTCTCACACCATCTCCATCCCCCCCAACAACACTCCTCCATCCATGTTTTGTTCTCTTGCTGCTAGGTCACTCCCAGGGTGTGACCCTTAAGAAAACACGATTGGGTCTGTCAGTTTGAACACCTTGGTCTCAAAGCAAAGTCAAAACAGAGCCCTCAGAGAACACAAAATCTTACCTCAACAATATCTGAATTCGTTCGACTCTCATGCGGCTCGTTATACTCGGTATATTTCAGCAGCACTTTGTCCATATCGGTGCTGGCATACTGGAACAGTTTGTTGGTGCTGTTGAATATGATCAGAGCAATCTCGCAGTCACACAGAACACTCAGCTCATAAGCCTTCTTCATTAACCCAAATTTCCTCTTTGTAAATGTCACCTAGAGAAAAAAAAAAAAAAAAAAAAAAGCTGTCAATAATCCCCAAGTTAATCTTTGTAGTCCTTCTTATTTGTTTTGGAAATATACATGACTGCTGTTGTCCTTGAATTGAGCAAGTTCAGAAGGAAAGCATGTAAGTACAAAGAGAGTTCCAAAATAGAATATAAGTATGTGTATTTACTATGTAAGTGAGGAAATGTATTTATTCTCATTACAAAATATTCAAGGTATGGATAAAGGCTACAGTACATTTTTTTGTAGTTCTACAGATGCTACATCTTTGTAACTTTCTAATTCCTGTAGTTTTCCCTTAAACACTCTTTATACTGTGTACATCTCTGTCATCAATATCTTAAAGGTGCAGCTTCGTTTTGCAATGGCAAATAGCTAGAAGACATGCAGTCAGTTTCTGGTTTTGATAGTGATTCACTAAGATTCAATTGCCACACAACTCACACAAAATTTTAGTAGAAGAAATTACTTCATACAGAATTTAAGTAGTGTGAAAAAGATACGTTGTTCATGGAAACACAGAATAGTTTTGAGGAAATATCTAGGATTAAAAAGTTAAGAACACCTTATTTAACGCTCAAGTTCTTATTTGAAAAATGAAAAATATAAAGAAAGAATGAAGAACATTAGTTTTCCAGCAAGTAATACCATCTTTAAATAAGTTTTTTTTTTTTTTTTTTTTTTTTAATACACAGATGCATCACACTTTATCTCTTTTCAAATTAAATGCTCAGAAATATGTACTGACATTTTTTAGTACAAAGGACTTTGGGTCATGTTATAGAGGTAAAAGCAGGGATATGCATAGCTTTCTGAGTAGGTCAGCTAATGTCCTAACACTTCATGAAAGCCTAGGCAGTAGGAAAAACATCTGAACTCTACATAACTATAACTTTCCAACTACATAACTATAACTTGTCCTTTTGATAAAGAAAGATTCTGCACAGCATATAAATGCTTTTCTTCTTTCTTTTCTGCACTAGCTTACAAGCTCCAGTAAGACATGTGGCTTAGAATAAAAAAAGTCCATTAGTTGCTTTAGCTAATCATATGCTTGAATTTGTTTCTCTTTGTTCTGTTTCTTCATGTACGCAATTCCTACCAAGTGCATGCAATAACTGTGAATTTTTTACATCTATTTTCCTCTCCAATAATTTTGAGTGAAAATATTTTTTTCAGATAAAATATGGTTTTGCTAAGGCTATAACTAATCAAATTTAATGTGTAGACAGGATATTTGATACAGCAAGGACAGGTGATCACAAACCAAGTTTGTAAATCAGCCCAATCCCATACTTGTTGCTCAGTTTCTTAATGAGTAGTATCTCTGCACTTTAACGCTGTGGCAAGAAGATTCCTTTCTATGCAGTTCGTAAGTCTGCTGTTTTATCTTGTCATACTCCTAATGCAGGTTAATGCTAACTGCAGCCCCAGCCTACCTTACGATCCCACCAGATCATGCCTTGGAAAACGTGACCTCTAATCCCTATTTGTTAGCCCATCCCAAAAAGATAAGACTCTATGTATGAACAGGTATTCTCCCAAATGTATATCGAATATCATTCCTTTTCTTGTCATTTCTATCTCTTTAGCCTCTGTCAATGTACTCTTAAGAAAGATGGACTGCTATTAAGTACAATTATTCAAGCATTTTATAAACACATTTTCCACAGTCCTGGTCTCAAGTATGTATAGTTGATTGTATAGTTGATTTTAAATTTTATCTAAATTTGTCTGTCTCAATAGCTTTTGATATTTGGAATTAATAATGTGATAGGTAACAAAACATCATTCAAATTCTGAAAAATAGACTAGCATTCCAAATACTGCTTTAATGTTTTCTGTGATTACAGAAAATTGCAATGTATTTGTTGAAACAAATATATATGTTTAACATTTAGAAAAAGCTAAACATACAGAAAATAAAATGGACTAACTCAACATATTTTTCTGCATCTAAAATGCCTTTCAATCAACTTTTTGACCACAGTGCTGTAGGTGGAGTGTCTCTACACAGTATGGTTTCTGTTGCACATAAACCTCAGAATTTAGCATGTTACAGCTTCTTACCATCAAAGTACACTCCAGTACAGAAATATCTTTAAAGCCACTGTTTGTGTTTACTGTTAGGTCCTCCTGAACATTTAGAGTAACCACACAGCTGTGCTGCATAGCACATACTTATTTCATAATACTTATCCCCAGAATGATACTGGTTAGAGTTCCTTTTTGTGGAAACTGAAAAAAGAACAAGAGATAAGCTAGACTTTTTTTTGTTGTTGCTGTTGTATTTTTTTCTTTTTTTTTTTTCCCTTTATTTAAAACATAATCTTAATTTCTCTGAATTTGATTTGCACTTAACTCCTAGATCTTTCAAATATTTTCAAAATCTATCAGATAATATTTTAGCCACTGCTGCTTGGTGCATTAAAAGCAATCACTGTCTGTGCAGTGATCTGCAATATTACTTTTCCTTTCAAATATGCTATTCATTGTGTCATATCTTTACGTATATATATTGCATATTCATATATATATAAATTAACTTGATTTTACAACAGTTTCTATGAGTCAACCTGTATTTTCAAATGTATAAAGAAAGGTCAGTAACCTCAGGAAATATTAAGAATTCTCTTCAAGTCATATAGAAACAAATGGCCATCTTTCATACTCTCTTCTATGTGGCTACCTAAGTAAGATGAACAAACTTCTTTTCCATACTTCATAATATTTTGGTGAGCTATAGAAGGAGGCAATATCTTTATTGCTTAGCTTCTCTCTATAGTATGAATTTGTTAACCATTTGTTATGTTAATCATACTCAAGTAACCTAGAAGTATCTAATAAACTTTGTTATGATAGCATACAGTATTATAGTATTGCAAAAAAAAAAAAAAAAAAAAAAATCCAAGTAGTAAAAAATAACACAAATTATTTAAAACATTTTTTTTTTTTGTCTAGGTGGAAGGCATGAAATCATCTCTTAAGATGCTCATCCTTCACTTTTTCTTGAACTGATTCAGCGCTGAAAATGAACAAGACACACACAGTCCACATGAGCTTTGGAGTAGCTGCACGGTACCAAAAATCTGAGTGGTCACATGGTCTCAATGTCCTATACTGCATTCAAAATTTTCAGTCATGATAGTACCGTATATCAGCTTACAATTTAATTTTGTCATTTGACATAAAGAGCATTAGTGAGACTGAAAGTAAACACACGTACAATGTGACAATTCATCAACTTATTTGAAAAAAGTATAACCAAAATACTGCATGCATTTCAATAGTACCTGCTTAATATTTAACTTTTTTTTTTTTTCCAGTGGCAAGAATCAAAACACTTAAATATTCTTTTCTATAAATATTAATTAAGATATGATTAATTATGTCTGTTGTCTAAACCACTGATAATTCTCAGATCTTTTTCAGGTTATAGTTTTTCTGATTTTTAGAAGTGTGATAGGCAATGTATGAAGTCCTTCTCTTTGTGGGCTATAGTATTTTATAACGTTGGTGTGAGAATTGGGAGGAATGAAAGTGGAGTGGAGGGAGGAAGTGGAATAGATAAGAGACCAGTGTTCAACAGTTTTTCAAACCCTTTAAGCATGTATATATAAAACACAAGGTTTGAAATAGTGACACTGTTCCTAAATACTTTTATGAGGCTTTTTTATGCATAGTTTAAAATGTATTGCAAAAAGAGCAGTGTGTAGAGAGTACCACACTTGCCTCTTAAACATGAGAAAAAATAACTGAATTCCAACCCTGTACATTAACAACAACAAAAACAAAGACTAGCCTAGTACTACCACTATCTTAACACTATAATTCATTTATTTATTTAAAGTTCACTTTAAAAAACTTAAAACCATTGTCTTAACAGGAATAGTGGTACCTAAAAGTTAGGTTACTAAATCCTGCAGCATTTTTGTATGTGAAGAAATATAAATGCTTATGACTTTACAGACGCTGTTTTCAAATATTGGGAAAATTAAAAACACAGTGATGGAGTGAACTTCCAACTTCCTTGATATAAGTCAAGGTAAGTTTTTTATACATTTCAGATTAAATTCTGGCTAAAGATGAAACCTACAGTATGTGCTAAAGGAAAGGCATTTACAGAAGAGGACTGTTAAAAGGACATCTTTCCACTTCAGCTCTGGTTCTTTAGCAAGATGGAAACACTTCTCAGCTAGCTTTTCAGGCATAAAGCTGCAAGAGTCTTCTGATGGATATTTGATGGACTAGTCACTGTAGACAGCCTGAATACATGGCTACATGAGCATACACTGTGATATGTTCCATTTAGTTGGTAATTTGGCCCAGAGGCAGCCTTTCTTACTTAATCTCTAGTAACTAGAATTTACTAAAACTAAATACACTAGAAGGTAATGTTTTTTGATTATGAATAAGAATTCATTCATGTCCTGAAATTTAAATGTGTTTATATGTGCATGTGTGAATGAGTCCATCCCGTTTTTCAAACCAGATAGTCTACTAGTCAATGGTAACAGTAGTCACTGGCAATGGTCTTTATTCAGCTGTAACAAGAAGAGTGAGCTTCTTATAGATGCTAATTCATCAGTAGAGGGACAGAAACAACTACAAACACTCCCAGCCTTCAGGGACACTTTATGTGTTTATCTATCTATCTATCTATCTATCTATCTATCTATCTACCTATCTATCTCTTTAAATTCAGGCCCTTCCAGTCCTTCTTCTGAAACCTCACACACTCTGAGAGGCTGATTTTAGATGGCCAAGCCATTACACTGATACTATTATGAGTACTCCATATTCATCACTAACAATCATATCATATATGCTAACATTTTCTGGTTTGAAAGTAGCAGTCCTGTGATCTTTCAAGCAATTCAGTCCAGTCTGTGGTAAAGTACCAGTGTTCCCCTTACTTATTGCTATCCTGATTATAAAGATATACAGTTGCTGACATAGGAAAATGAGAGAAACAGGGACTGTGCACA